AACGTTGCGTGCGATAATGAGAATGTATCCTCGTCTGCGGATGTAAACAAAAAACGAAAGAGAGCTCACGATGCGTCATCGAAATTATGGCACTATCGTTTATGCCATATTTCGAGGGGAGAATAGAAAGACTAGTTAAGAATGATATTCTTTCTCCATTAGAGTTCTCAGATTTAGAACAATGTAGAGAATACATAAAAGGAAAGTATGTAAAGAAAATTAAGAAAGATGTCAAACGAAGCGTAGGAATTTTACAGATTATTCACACAGACATCTGTGGTCCGTTTTCTATAAAGAGTGTGGATGGTTATGATTCATTCATAACATTCACAGATGATTACTCCCGTTATGGTTACATTTATCCAATTAAAGAAAAAATAGAAGCATTGGATAAATTTAAGATATTTAAAGCAGAAGTTGAAAACCAACACAATTTAAAGATTAAAATAGTCAGGTCCGACCATGGGGGGGAGTACTATGGTTGGTAAACCCCATATGGCCAAGTTCCTGGACCTTTTGCAAGGTTCTTACAGGAGAATGGCATAGTAGCCTAGTATTCTACACCGGGCAAACCCCAGCAGAATGGAGTAGCTGAAAGACGCAATCGTACCTTGATAGATATGGTGCGCAGTATGATAAGTTACTCCACCTTACCGTTGAGCCTGTGGATGGAGGCGTTAAAAACCGCCATTCATATTCTCAATAGAGTACCAAGTAAGTCGGTGCCTAAAACACCGTATGAGTTATGGACAGGAAGAGTACCCTCACTAAATCACTTACATGTGTGGGGGAGTCCTATTGAGGCTAAAGTATTTAACCCAAATATTGGGAAGCTAGATCCCAAAACAGTAAGTTGTCATTTCATTGGCTACCCAAAAAAGTCAAAAGGTTTTTGTTTCTACTGTCCAGACAGACATATAAAGTTTATGGAAACAAGACACGCTGTCTTCCTAGAGGATGAAATGATGATGGGGACATGGTAGCTCGAGAAATTGATCTTGAAGAGAAGCGGGTGTATGCGCCCACTCCGATGATTCATGAGCCATTTTTCTCACTACCTGCTGTCGCTGCACCGATAGTGAAAGATAATATGGTGCTAGCACTTATTGTTATTCCGCCTATGACAACAATGAATGATGTTGAGGAACTTGTTCTTCAGGATCCAGTAGAACCTATTGCCACACATGAGGGGGAGCAACAACAGCCTCAAACAGAAGATGTGCTAAATATGGAGGCCCCTAGAAGGTCTCAAAGAGTTAAAAATCAACTATTCCTGTTGACTATGAAGTATACAATACTGAGGAATTTCAAATGAAGGATGATCCCACCTCATTTGAAGAAGCCATGAGAAGTGATCATTCATCAAAGTGGCTTGAGGCCATGGAAGATGAAATGAAATCTATGAATGCCAATAAAGTTTGGGACTTGAAAATAATTTCTAAAGAAGTCAAAACAGTAGGCTGTAAATGGGTCTACAAAACAAAACTTGACTCTCAAGAGAATATAGAGAGATATAAAGCGCGAGTTGTGGCAAAAGGCTTTACGCAAAGAGAAGAGATTAATTACAATGAAACCTTTTCTCCAGTCTCATGTAAGGATTCCTTCAGAATCATAATGACATTAGTGGCATATTACGATTTAGAATTATATCAGATGGATGTAAAGATGACATTTCTCAACGGGGACTTAGAGAAAAATATTTACATGGCACAACCGAAAGGTTTTGTCATGGAAGGAAAAGAACGAATGGGATGCCGTCTAAAGAAATCCATTTATGGATTAAAATAAGTTCAAGACAGTGGTACTTGAAGTTTGATCAGACAATAAGAAATTTTGGGTTTAAAGAGAATATAGAGGATAATTGTGTCTATGCAAAGTTTAAGAATAGGAAGTTTATCTTCCTTGTCCTGTATGTGGATGATATCTTACTAGCTAGTAGTGATATCAGTCTACTACTAGAGACAAAGAAGTTTTTGTCCTCAAAATTTGATATGAAAGATCTTGGTGAAGCTTCGTTCGTTCTAGGGATTGAGATTCACTGAGATAGAAGTAAATGTGTATTAGGACTGTCACAAAAGGCATACATAGAAAAGATTTTAAAGAAATTCAATATGCACAAATATAGTTCCTCACCTGCTCCTATAGTCAAGGGCGACAGATATAGGGATTTTCAATGCCCTAGGAATCAGTATGAGATCGATCAAATGAAAACGGTTCCAGATGCTTCAGCTGTCGGAAGCTTGCAATATGCACAAGTATGTACGTGCCCTGGCTTGGCATTTGTTACCGGGTTACTTGGTAGATTTCAGAGCAATCCTAGAACAGAACACTGAAAATTAGTAAAGAAAGTCTTGCGTTATTTGTAAGGAACGAAAAGCCTCATGATGACGTATAGAAGATCAGATTCACTCCATATAGTGGGATATTCAGATTCTGATTATGCGGGAGATGATAGAAAATCCACGTCTGGATATGTACTCATTCTTGCAGGAGGAGCTATTTCATGGAAAAGTTCAAAGCAAACCGTCACAATATCGTCCACAATGTATGTCGAGTTTGTAGCGTGTTATGAGGCAACGGGGCAGGTGAACTGGCTAAAGAAGTTCATACCCGATTTGAAGGTGGTTGACGACATCTATAGACCACTTAAGTTATACTGCGATAATAATCCGATAGTACAGTATGCTCACAACAATAAGTCAAGTGGTGCTGCCAAACACATTGACATAAAGTATTATGTTGTGAAAGATAAAGTCCGGGATCATGTCATAAGTCTTGAGCGTATAAGTACCGAAAAAATAAGCCGAAACAATGTTCCAGCTGATTTGTTGTGAGAGAAAAACACTCTTTCAGTTAAAAAAACTGTTAGATTGATCTCTAATCCCAAACTGGGCCCAACGGCCTAGTTAGGCCTTTGATCCACGTCCTGATCGGGGGCGCCCAGCCCACTATTGCTGGAGGGCCCCTGTCACACTGCGCTATATATAGAGGTGGGGGCCGGCGACTCTGTGTACGAGGTTCGCCTGAGCCGAGCTCCCCACCGAAACCTAAACCCTAATCCCGATCAGAGAGGGGCGCAACCAGTGACGGGAAGCCACCAGCCGCGCCGCCCCGCTCCACCGACGTCGATGACTTTATTGACCTCTTCCTCGAACGTCGCTGCCCGTGCGCAGACTTCACCGATGAAAGAGACGGCGGCTTCTGGATCATCTCCCTCTGCGGTGTCAGGTTCGACACATTCTTCTTCTATTCTCTCTTTGTCCCTCTACTCTTGATATCGCATTCACAATATAGAGAACTCGCTAGATTTGTGCCTAGAGATCCTGCTTTAGGTCTAACAAAAACAAGCTGAAAAAGGATGGATTATAAGAGAAGCGCCACGCTTCTCTTATAATCCGCGCTTCTCTTATAATCCGTCTTTTTCATCCTGTTTTTTCAACCAAAATAATATTTTTCTTTCCCAACAAATCAGCCGAAACGGTGCTTCAGCTCCACGAAGCCTCGTGACAATGGTCTCTCCCGCACTTTTTCCTCCGCCGATGACGCGCACTTGTCAGGTAAACCAATCCCACACTCTTCCCGCGGTCCCAGTTTTCATAGTTAGGGAGGGCTACGATTCGTGGTAGCGCGCTATCGTGGTAGGGCGCCGGCAGCATTGCAGCAGCGCAAGGTGGCCACAGCCCATGTGTGGCACGTGGCCAAGCGTGGGGCGCAAGCGTGCGTCTCGGTGCTAGTGTCGTCGTTTTGGCTGCTAGGGCTCAATGTTGTGCCGGCCACCGGCCCATGGAGATGCCCTGTTCTGGCCGTCTCCATCTGGCCAAGAGTACTTCCTACCTTTGCTTGAGTCAATGAGGCCTTGTGCTAATTTGGGAGAAATTAGGAAAAGAAATAAAACAAGTACTTAGGTATTCCCTTACGCCTCTTTCTCTGTAGCTTTTTTTTCCGATCAATTCTTTCTCTGTAGCTGCAATTAGCCCAAATTTTAGTTTACATGTCAGATTCGTCTATGCCCTTTTGAGTATTAAGTAGTACAGTGGCCTTTTTCTCATCATGTTCTTAGAGTGCTTGAACGTGATTCTCATGTTATCACGTTTGGCCACCCTGTTCGTTGGTTGGTGCTGGTGCTGGTTTAGGCTGGGTGGTTTTTTTTTTAGAGGAAAGCACTGTTGGCTGGTTGAATAAGTCTGGCTGAAACCAACAAACGAACATGGTAGATCATTGAAGAATAATATCTCGAGGCCACCTGCAGATTTAATATAAATGACTTGTGAATCGTGGGTCTAGTAGGTCGTGGTTGCTTGGATCTTTCTAAAAGCTTTGTTTCTTCTCTGAATGACTGAATCTAAATTTGAGTCCGAGTCTCCAATGTGTGGCGCCTGGTTTAATTTTCCTGAATATCATAGATGTTTGGGCTCATCTAGGTTCCTCACTCCTATTCTGTCTAACAGAGGTTTGACTGCAGCATCTGCATAATGCTTCAGTTTGAGTGTATATAACTATATAAGTATTCCAAAACTTTAGACTTACATGTGTATGTAAGATGGTACCTGATCAAGGCCATGTTATCTGTTCTTTGAGATGCCTTGTAAATATGCGGGGGGTTGAAACAGATATGCAGAAGCATTAGCAATAAAGAAATAGAATTGTTTTAAAAAGATGAAAGGCCATGGTATGTCAGTGCCTAAAAATAATTTAGTGTCATACGTCATCCTATTCTACTTCTAGAATTTTGAAGTTAATATTGATTTAGTATATAGATAAAAATTGCATCTTTTACTTCTCATCATGCTGAATTTTAAAATATCCATCGTTGTTTTAATATACAACTGCTTTAAATGACTACATTTGTCTTATATGGGCACATAATAAACTTATATGGACATTGTCATAGATGATGATGGTATCATTCCGATGGACAAGGACCTGGAGTCCGAGGAAGCTGTATGGGCCTTTAACAAGGCTGGTGCAAGGCTTTCAACAAGCAACGCGACCATGCCGAGATGGCTCGCCGGTTCAAAATATTCAAACATCATGCACAGCATGTGCACGCACACAACACTTATGTTCCTGAAGATCCAGAGGAAGCAGCCATTTATTGTCGCAAAAGAAGGCAACTCGAATTACTTCTTTCAAAAGGCGAAGATATCTCACACATCGATGACCAGTATGTGCCATTGGAGTTATATATTAATGCTGATGGGAGCGATCCATTTCTTAGTGAATATGATAAGGACTTGTTGAAGCAGATCGAAGAGAGGGAAGCACACGGTGCTGTCAAAGATGATACAGTAGAGTCGTTTGCTTAGGGAAATCCCAGACCTTGAATGAGATGATCTGAACTCACCAAATCACTCGAATGTAAAAGGTTAGGCTTTGCTGTTCCATGTACTAGTTATGCTTCCATGTGTGCTAAGTTATGCTTCTGTAACATCTTTTTTAAGGGATCGTGATGTTTTCCATATCCTTAGTGTCTATTTTGTTTTCTGCATTTAAAGGTGAGCAAAACAACCATTTGCATTTTAAACATACAAGTGAAAGATTATCAAAACATGACAAGTACACTTCTAGCATAGTCATCATGTAAACAAGTAGTATAGACAAACTATGGGCTTGATCGGCAAGCTGGTTGAATAAGCCAAAATACAGTTCCAGCTGAGTTGTTGTGAAAAAAAAATAATATTCTGATTAAAAAAACACTATTCATGTGAACAGTGCCCACATGAGTAGGCTGGTTGCCGAACACAGCCTATATTAACCCTAATCTAAAAACCTACCTATATGAAAGCTTTAATAATTACAACCGAGGAGTAAAAAGGTGGCGCACTAAACATCTCTTTTGGACATGAAAAATTTATGGGAGACACATCTTAACTAAACAAAGTTATTGTATGAATTTCATAATTTCTGGATAAGTAGATTATTTACTAGCATTTAATTAAGACTTAATGGTAATAAAAGCATGTGGCACGCACTGAACCTGAAATTTTTACCAGAGCACACGATCAACATAACAGCAGATATGAATTTATCTCTAATAGACAAAAATTTAGAGCAATATTTTTCTACTAAAACATACAATATTATATATCTACTGCATAGATCTGGTCACAAGGATTCCAAAACATCTTCATTTTCCTTTTTATGATTTTTCTACAATTTACTATGAATTTTTAAAGTTTTAGCCTATTTACACATAAAAGAAAAATATAAAAGAAAAAGGAAAACATATTTTGCGTCGGGAGTCATGGACTGTCTCCAAATCTATTTTAGCCCTTCCACCAAAATTTTGTCTCTAGCATATATACATAAGGAACCCTACCTTTGTTTGTATTCCCAGCCTCAACTCCTTCTTCTCTTCTCGACGAGCAAACAGAGGGGCGCGGGTCTGTGTCCGTCGGCGGCCGATTTGACTGGCCGGGGAGGCACGCCGGCGCCAAGGGCAGGCCGGTGAGCGGGGATCACCACGCTCGATCCCGCTGCGGCCTACGGCTCGGCCGGAGGTGCCCAGCAGCGGACCGGCCACGTGCTCGGCGGCCGCGGCAGCGTGGCTGCGCGACGGCGACATGCCCCGGCGGTGAGCTGAGGCCGAGGAGGCGAGCGCTGGGTGCTGCGAGACAAGGAGAAATCATAGGGACGCTTTATTGGGGTAGAGAGGCCCGAAACAAGAAGCTCACCATGGATTTCGTTCGCGGCTGTCGGCTGCGAGGACGATGGCAGAGCGGCGGAAACGGCGCGTCGCGGCTCGGATTCGTCCTGCGAGCGTGCGTAGGACGCAGAGGGAAGCGAGGCGAATAAGGTGGGGCGCGGTCAGGGTGGAGAGGGCTCCGAGGGCGGGGAACGCGGCGGCGGCTCGACCTCCGTGGCGCTCGGCCATGGCGGCGTCGCACGCAGGAAAGAGCGAGGGAGAGGGAGAGCAGGGCGAGGGAGAGTGCGCGGAGGAGGAAAAGAGGATCTCGGGCTCCACTTGAAGGCGCGAGGGAGGGCAGGCGGGCATGGGCGAGCGCGCGAGTAGGGCATGGGCGGCCATGGCGCCCCTGTGCGACGCCAGAGCAGGGCGTGGGCACGGCCATGTGCTGGCAGAGCAGAGCCGGGGCAGCACGATGTGGCCCCGTAGGACCCACATTTCAGGAGATTCCAAGAAGATTCGGTCCCAGCCACAGTAATAAAATATCTTCACCTCGGTTCAATCTTCAACTCTTATTAAGGGACAAGGTTATTAGCGCAGCGGATTAGCGGATAATTAGGGACAAAATTAGCAGTGTCAGCGAAAACGCTAAGCACTTGGGAACTCTCTCCCAGGAAACAATATTTTATTCAAACTTTGAAGCACTAATTAACCTATCCAACAATCAAACTTGGCATGAACAAGAACTCTACCACAAAGTACAAAACTTAAACTAAGTTTTTCATACCAACATATTTTATAGTTTCTATAAAAATAATTATTCATTTATCCTCCAAAAAGCTATTGAGCAATTAGAGCATCTCCAAGAGTTTGGCAAATTTTACTTGGCATTTGCTAACTCCCAAAATTATATGTCAAGTAAAAAAATAATCCATCTCTAAGAGTTTGGCATTTTTGACTTGGTAAAATAAAAAAACCCGTTAACAAAACGAAGAGCCCCGCTAAGCGAACAAAGAGCCCCGCTAAGAAACGAAGAGCCCCGGATGAAAGTTCAGATATCTGCTGCGATATATTTACGCTGTGGAGGGAAGATTTGCCAAGTTGCTATTGATGCTAAGTTATTTTGCCAAACTGTTGGAGGCTATTTTTTCTTGTTTTGCCAAAATTATATGGATGCCAAGTTAAGATAGCAAACTCTTGGAGATGCTCTTAAAACAAGGTAAGGTTTTTGGCATTTTTAATCATTTTCTCCACATTTTTCCAACATGAACCCTAAATAACTTTTGTTTGCAAACACATTTAGAGATGTTTAAGCACAAAAATAAAGTTGGTTGACATCACATATGTTGACCCTATATTAACAAAAGGTGATTCAAACAAAGAAAGCCTTGTCATTTTGTGCTTTTTTATTTCAAACATTACACAAACACCACATACCATCAAAATACACCTAGGTTCATGCAAAGCACTTAAGCAACACTATTCATGCACATTTTTATTACTGACAAAAGATTTGTCTTTCCCTATAAAGATTTAAGTTGGCTATAATTGAAAAGAACTTTTACTCCACATTGTTAGTATTACAAACAAAAGATCATTATAGAGCACATGAAACTTACTAATCAAGTTTTATTATCTTTAATCTATCGCTAATTAGGTATTTAACACCAGGGGTGTTACAGATTCCATCTTACCATAGTTACACTGCATGCATCGTCAACATATCTCCAATTGTAAGCACTGACCACCGAGCAGCAATCATCTGAAGCCACAGATAAATTCACTGTCAATCAATAATGTTCAGATTTTTATCCCGCTCAAAAAAAAAGTTCAGATTTAAAATGCATGTGGTATACAAATTTTCACACAGGAAAATTAGTCCAATCCTTAGGCTTTAAATCCTCATATACCATCTATATTCATGTATTCTCATATACCATGTATATTCATGTATAAGTTCATGTTTACCTCCAAGACCCAACTAAGCTAGGACAGCTCTGAGCCACATTTGTTCCATCCATATTCTAAATTTGGTGATAGTCCTGTTGGATTTCTGTTCTATTAGAAGCATGATTTTACTTCCGGTGTGAAATTTCTATTTATGTCCTGCAATTTCTATTTAAGTACTCCTTCCATTCTAAATTATAAGACGCTTTGACTTTTCTAGATACATTGATTTTTCTATCTAGATACATGCTTTGACAAAACTATCTGAAAATCAAAATGTTTTAGATATAATTTATTTTTCTTTCTTACTCCCTCATCCCAAAGTGCATGACTTTTTAAGTTTGACTAAAATTATAGAGAGAAACACGAATCTAGAAATGAAAATATAAAATGTTTTATAATTTAAAATGGAGGTAGTAATTTATTTTTCTTTCTTACTATCTATATGATTCTGCAGATAGGCTTAGTAGTAACACATTCACAACAGCTGTAATATCCCTGATGTCATTTTTGTGCTGTGCAAAGTCACCATTTGAATGCTAAATTGAAATTATCAGCTGAACTAAGAAACACTCAGTTCTCAGATGCATAGCTCTGAAGCACGGGGATGGGTGCTGCTACTGATCCTAACCCTAGCACAAGAAGTCAATTAGTTTGGGGGAAAGAGAGCAAAGCCCCAAAGCACCACATCTGTAAACTCTAGCTCCTATAAAAAAAAAAAAAGTATATGGAAGGAGGGTCAGTCTAGGACCGTGGTGGAGGCCTGGTTTTTGCAGCACAATGTCAGTATCCGGAGGAAGGGGATGTCTACTGTGCGCGGTCCGGCAACAGGATTGAGCTACGGCGTTAGTGGTTAAGCGTGCGGGTGCCGGGTGTAAATGTGTTGGTGAGGATGGTTAACGGACAGCTGCCAGGCTGTAACGGCAACAGGATTGAGCTCCGGCAACTGAATGTTGTTAGTACGGTGGAATGCAGAAACCTGAACCCCAGTCTGTCTCTGCTCCTCTGTTCTTGCTTCTTCCTGCATTTCTTGCTCTTCTATCCTCAATTCTTCTCCTCTCTCAGTTAGGTTCTGATCCGGAACCTAACACACAGGTGGATTGTTGGCGGCCGGGAAGAGCTCCCGGTTAATGGTCTAGGCCTGGGGCCACTGTCGTTGGCGAGGCGACGGTGTGGTGTCGTCATCCTCGTAGGCGCCGGCTGCGTCGCTTTCGTTGTTGAGGATCCTGAACTCGAGCACGGACGTGTACTGGTTCGTGGGGCTGGAGCCCGCCGGACCCTGCACCACAAAGCAAACATGTTGGTCTTGGTATGGATGCTGACGGCGGATCCACCGAAGTTGGGGCTGCCTGTGCTGGATACGGTAGAGAACGGGAATCGATCTGGGAGGAGGGAAGGACTCCATCCGCTCTGAGAGTGAGATGGGACATCCCATCGGGCCTGTCGCCGTAACTCATGGGTGGATCCACCGGCGACGAATCGGCTCCGTATGCCGCAACCGTGGAAACTCTGCCGTGCACCCGCCTCACAACACGACGGAGACGTCGAGGGAATGAGGGCACAATGGGGCTGCTAGGGCGGGAGCGGAGGAGCCGAGGGAGGGGGTGAAAGGATCCGGGCTGGGACACAGCCACGAAGCGAAAGGCGAAGGCAAGGGGCAGATGGTGAGGCAGAGGAGGCGAAGAACGCAGCAGAGGAACGTGCGGCCGACGATTTTCTCCGCCCAGACGGGTGGGGAAGGCCACACGGCAGCCACCGCGCACGACCGACGCCACCGAGGACAGCCGACTGGCCGAGAGACCCGCATCGATTAGGACGAGCACTACGATATCCAATTTCGTAGCCTAAGAGCAAGTACTATGGTTCAGCCGGCTGCCGGCTGGATAAACGTCAGCGTGGACAACATTTAATGCAGCAGCAGCATTGACACAACACATGCAGTCAACCAACGGTGAGTGCAGCAGTAGCGCAGCCAATGAAGCTGCATGCGCGCGCATCCGCCGGCTTTCAGTCGACGTTTAGCTAGCCGCCCGCTCCACTCTCTCTCTCCTTTTCTCTCTCCGCCAGCAGTGATTTTTCTGACGTGGCTGTGCTCCCCGCCGGCCTTGCTGGCTCCATAATACTTGCTCTAAGGCACAGTTCCCTGCACTTCCCCTTGACTTTAGAGCACAGGGAATTGTGCCCGAGTAGACTGTGGAAGCAAACAAGACTGAGGAAAGGGAATCGTTGGCGACCGAATGCTCGCTGTGATAGTATTCCGTCGGATAGTAATATGGGCATATTCTCACGGAACGGTCCAGCAGAACAGCCCATAAAACGTCATCGTGCCCGTCCGTGCTTGCCATTGCGCCGTTCGTTGATGCACGTGTGTGTCCATCCCCGTTCGCCTCGTCCCGCCCCGCGTCCGCTGCTCCTCCCCCCTGACCCCTCCTCTCTCTTCACTTGGGCGAGACCCGGGAGCCCAGATAAGGACGAGCACGCCCCTCTTTAGTAGGACCCCAGTATGTGCGTCAAGTGCTCCCATCCATCGGCCCCAAGCTCACATTTGTACCTTGCAACACGTATGTCATCACTTCTTGCCACCGCCACTACAGAGGGTCAAGATGACGGACTAGATGGGGTGAATAGTCCTTTCTAAAATTTAAACGCGCCGGCTAACCGAAACAAATACGAAATTAAAACTATCGGTTTAGCCAACACTACACTCATTTATCTAAGTTATCAAGCACCTTACAAAGATTCTAATTAGGTAATAAAGCTACCGGGCTAGCTAGAGCTCACCAAATAGTTCTAGTAGCAAGGTCACACAAACCTATAAACTAATACTTTGGCAACCGAGCGAGCTCCTACGCAAACTTGTGAAGCAAAAGCACAAAGCTCCGAAGCTCACTAGCAATGCTCACTAACAAGACTACACAAGCTAAATTAGAGAGCTCAAATTACTTAGCTACACAAACTAAGTAATGTGACTAACAAGGTTACTCAAACCAAATTAATCACAGAAGAGAGGTACTTCTATGCTATACAAGAAAGAAGGTAACTAGCAAGCTACACAAGCTAACTAATTACAAGAGCAACTACACAAGCATAATATATATGAAAGTAAATACAAGCTTGTGTATGATGATCGCAAACCAACGGAAGAAGATGATATATTGATTTTTTTATCCCGAGGTTCACGTATTTGCCAACACGCTAGTCCTCGTTGAGACAAGCTCCAAGGTTGCCGTCGGTCCTCTTGCCAGTGGTGACCCGCAAGTCACACTCTCCCACGTGGAGTGCTTACCACAAGCTCTAGCACT